CCCAGGTGCCAGTTTAGCTTCTGATTGGATCGACAGGGACCTTTTGCCTGCCTGCTTTCACAGAAAAGACAAAACCTAGGATGTATAGGTTACCATGTATACAAACTACCAAAGATGTTTTTTCAGCCGGTATACTAAACATGAACTAAACATGTTATTTTTGCAGGGTATCTAAGGTTGGCCATGTATTGATGAAAAGTGAACCAGCAATTTTATGTGGGTTTAACCATCAACAATTGGAGTTTAAGTATCGTCAACATAGGGACTGCACCAATGAATGATGAACATGGTTTAGTCTGAAAGCAGGGGAAATCATCTCCAATTTGTGGTCAGTTTGGTAGGCAAAGTGATACACCTGAACTCGTTGGGGCCCTATGTTTTCTGGATGTTAGGGTTGCATAGGCGGGTTGCCACGTGTTGATTTTCAAAGCGTGTTGGTTTCTGTGGATGGATAGTAGCGGGATCATACTAATTAGATCTATTTATAATTGGTATGAACCATAGTGGACCCATGTTTGGGAAATCTCACATCAACCTGGAGCATGGTGAGAAGCAAGGCATGGCTTGGCTGGTGTTGCGAAGGCAATACCGTCCAGGTCCTCGCTTGATGATCCTCCACAGATTGAATCTGAGTGGAGGTTCAGTCAGGCCACCGCAATCCGTGCCATGCCTGAAAGTATCCACCCTGTTCTTCATGAACTCTTATGAAAAGGGGCGGAAAATGATGGAGAAATCTAGAGATACTCTAGTTCCGTGTGGCTCAAAAGTCTGGAGTCCAACATTTCCAAGGCTTTGTTGGAGAAAATCAAGTTCGATTATTTTTTTGGTGCCTAAATATTACGTTAATGATTTTAATTATTGCTAAGACTATAATAGTAATCAATTGTTCACGAAAGGTAGCCTCCTAGCGGGCTACCTTGAGTTTTACTTTGAAGCAAAGGGGCGGGCTGGACCCCTTATCCCTGAACGACCAGGAGAAAGGGACCCCCCCCCCTCACCGCCCCCTCAAAGGGAACTCTCGCCATATGCCTGGTGAGTCTCTTCACGCAGCAGCCCCTTCGCAGTGTCTCGTCATCATCACCATCATCATCATCATCATCACCATCATCATCATCATCATCACCATCATCATTCGACTTGAAATTCGGATTTTTCGACATCCATTTTCCAAGTACCCAAGGGTGCGATGAAAGTGACAGGTTCGAGCATCCATAGGTACCGCATGGTACCGCAAAAAGAGACATTGGAGTTTGTGCTAACACTGATCGTATTTTTTTTCCCCGCACGATGCGTGTGTCTGACAATGTATACCTCCAAATGGACTTTTTAAATGGACTAAGTGATGAGCAACCATGGACATCGTGGAGTGCTCTCTTTTCGGATCCAGATATCTCCGCTCTGCTCTGAATGTCCAGTTCCATGCCCCCCCCCCAAGTGAACTCTCGTCACATGCCTTGTGCGACTCTTCACGCAGCAGCCCCTTCGCCGTGTCTCATCATCAGCATTATCGTCATCATCCTCATCATCATCATTATCATCACCATCATCATCATCATCATCATCATTCGACTTGAAATTCGGATTTTTCGACATCCATTTTCCAAGTACCCAAGGGTGCGATGAAAGTGACAGGTTCGAGCATCCATAGGTACCGCATGGTACCGCAAAAAGAGACATTGGAGTTTGTGCTAACACTGATCGTATTTTTTTTCCCCGCACGATGCGTGTGTCTGACAATGTATACCTTCAAATGGCTATTTAAATGGACTAAGTGATGAGCAACCATGGACATCGTGGAGTGCTCTCTTTTCGGATCCAGATATCTCCGCGCTGCTCTGAATGTCCAGTTCCATGCCCCCCCCCAAGTGAACTCTCGTCACATGCCTTGTGCGTCTCTTCACGCAGCAGCCCCTTCGCAGTGTCTCATCATCAGCATCATCGTCATCATCCTCATCCTCATCATCATCATCATCATCATCATCATCATTCGACTTGCGATTCGTTTTTTTCGACATCCATTTGCCACGTCACTTTAACTTTTGCAAGCAAACGGGTGAAGCAAAGGAACGTTGGCGCTTCTCCATGCTTCGGTTGGACAGAAATTTTCCCTTCGTTCTGTCAAAGCGGCGATTTGCTAGCGCATGATGTCCATATTGACAAGCCTAAGGCTTGGTGTCAGCAGAAAGGGCCCGGTCGGATGTCGGCTTTCGCACTGAGTGATCCCCCGCGTCCCCTGTGATACAACTACCTTTCGTGTCACCCCTTCTCAAGTCTTATACACACACTTGTTGAAGTCGCACCAATCAGCTCGGGGAAAGCTGCAGGGAAATTTTGCTGAAACTTAAAACGTCAATGTCCAAGAGGAAGTAAGAAATACGGAAAGACAATGAAAGAAAGGGGGGGAAAAGGAAAGAGCAGCAAAAGAAAGGAAAGAAAAGGAAAGAAAAAGAAAGAAAAGGAAAGAAAATGAAAGAAAAGGAAAGAACAGGAAAGAAAAAGAAAGAAAGGGGAAAGGAAACAAAGTGAGCGAGGGATGAAGGAAATGAACACGCTTGACCTCGTTCGTACCTCGTTCGGACCTCATTAAATTTGTCGGGCACGTATACCTAGAGACAGATTCAGGCATCCCCCAAAGTATTCATGCAATGTAGGTTCATAATGGGTTTGGTACCGGAAAGCCAGATGAAATATACCTCCACACCAATATTTTCTCATTAATATTTGAGGACAAAAATAATTCAATATATAATTTATTTTTCTATTGGATAATTTATGTGTATTTGATAATGTATATATAATTATATATAATATAATTAATTATATAAAATATATATATTTAAATTATTATTTAATAAATTATCGGAATTATTATTGGGAAATATGGTTGATTCTTAATATATTGATAATATATATAAATATATATAATAAAATAGAATAGAATATAATATAATATATTTTAATAATTAAAAAAAATATATATATATAATTAAATATTTATTATATTATAAATTATAAAATAATTATTAAAAATTATAATATATATTTTGAATAAATTATATAAAAATAAATAAAAAATATATATAATTTATTTCTAAAAAATTAATTATATTAACAAATAATATATAAATTTTATATATATAATTGAATTTAAAATATGAACAAGAGGCTAAATTCTCCGTGTAGGAGATATATATTCGAATGATTTTTAATATATAAAAATATGTATTTTAATAGGTTATACCTAGCTCTTACAACGGAAAATACGTAAAAATATGTTGATATTTTTAAATTTGATTAATTTATTTATTTTTAATTATTAAAAATGGTTTTATATTTGTTTCGCCATTATTCCTGTTTTACTATTGTTTAAGCCTTTCGGATAAATTCCGCGCATTTATGTAAGCAATGATAATAACAATAGGTATCCTTTTTAATTTGCTTTGGTTCATATTATTTTCCCAAAAATGTTTTCCTTTTTAAACGATAACGAAAACGATAACTAAACGATAACCATTT